GGCCGCTACACAAAACCAAAATAAAAAGTCAAAGAATTGCATAAACTCTGTGTCCATGTACACATCGATCAGTTTTCACTTAAAAAAACATCCCAGAATTGCATAAACTAGGCATTGCGCACTTTTTAAATTTGTCCATGTACACATCAATCTATTTTTATTTAAAAAAAAAATCAGGAGGATAAAGCAAAGTTACACTCTCATGGTAACCAGAAATAAGATTTCATCGCCAAAATTTTACAAAAAATAGTCGCTAATCGAAGGGGCACCCAATTCTACACTAGAGCCAAAGATTTCCCCTTTCATTCGCAAAAAATGTACAAATAATAATGCATAAATTACTTTCCCCAAGCGAAGTAAATTTTTTATTGTTAATATTTATTAATAACTTGTTATATAACTGCAAATAATATAAAAATATTAAAAATTAATTTAAACAAATTTCTTTACACATTAGTTATTCTTTCACAATGCAGTCATTTTGACTGCTTTTGGGCAATATAGGTATGCACTAAGTTTCGGTCTTTCTAGTATTAATATCGTTGTTTATAGACATAGTAACCATTTTCAGAGGATGCCATCACAAATAAAAATATTCCAAAAATAAAATAGTACCTTCTAAAGCAAGATAAAATCAATACCTAGATGGGAAAGTTACATAAAAGGAAGTAACTCTAAAGGCGACCTTTCCGACTGTAGGTAACTTATTCTTCTACGAAGACGGTCGCCTTAGAAAGATGAGATTCAGTACCACTCTTTGCAACTGTTCAGTGTACAACTAAGCATTTTAAAGAGGTTGCTTCTTAGATAGGTGATTGTACCGAGGTTAGTTCAACATATAAATAACGGTGAATATATAAACATATATATAACGGTTATAAACATATTACAACATATAAATAACGGTCATAAACGGTCAAGCAATAACTAAAAAAAATTCGAATAGACATATAAAAAAATTAAATAATATTTTTAAAGCACTTATAAGAAATATCTAACTGCAAAGTTGAATTCCCTTTAAACTGACCATTCACGATTCCATGTCTTTCAGTCTTCTGTGGATATTGTCATTTCAGAAAGGTAATGTTAAACATCGATGTTTATTTATCTTCTCAGAAACACTGGTTGTCATAGGTCCACAGTCACCAAGAGAGTCCATTTTAATTACAGATTATTTCTGAAAATACTCTGCGATTAAATTTTCTGAGTACAATTTCAAATTTGAGTCGTCCCAATGACTGATGTAAAAACGAACTAGTTTCCGTTAATACTGTAGAAACATTACATTATTTCGAAGCAAGAGAGATGAAAAGTGAGCAACGCCGCGAACCATTGACCTCTCAAATACACGTCGAACTACTGCTGACCCCTACACCCCGAAGGCGTACTAAGAAAGCGGGAGAAATACCTTATAATACTAGTTTCCAAGCGGTTAAATCGCCGGACACTGGTAATTAGATTTAGCGAATGAGCTGGCTGCATGAGATTTTTTTGTAGTTTTCCTAATGTATAACATGTATACGAGACAGTTCCTGAGAACGTGTGCTCCATAGATGCATCCCTACCCTTTCACAGACAGCCCTAGTGTGCTTTGCCACAATTCAATGAATCTAAATCTCCTACTGAAATATTACATAGCTACCCTCCTCACATATTTCGCCATAACTAGCGAATCAGCACCTAAAGGATTGCAATTTTTAATGACCTTTAAAAAAACAAATAAACTGAAAAAATAAATAAATCTGAAAACTTTCAGATATTACATTACGCCCAAAGGGGTGTTTTTTTCATTTATACGTACCACACGTTTCGAGAGCATTTGAGATAACGCCCTTTTGGGCTAAAAATATTTAAAAACCGAATACCTTTAGAATATCCGACAGACTGTCTAAAGCACTGGAGATAATATTTTATTCCGCTCAGTATGTTGCGGCTACTGGCTTTGACATCGTTGAGTTGTCAATAAAAGATTCGTTAAAGCTTAAAAAATATGAAACAGATAATAAAACAAATTCGAAGTTCAAGATTCGGGCTTCCAGGTGCCCATATTCGGGTGGAGGACTACGTTATTCAAAATCTGATGACTCTAGGTATCGTTGTTTTTTCAGAGTACGAGAAACATACATACATTAATTCAGGCAGATTCCCCATTATTTAATTGCTTTAAATATAATGCAAGGCGATAATATTTGATTTCAACAATTTGGAAAGTTATACAGCTGTTTATAGTGATTCGAAACAAAATGTCGTTTCGAGACTGATATTTTTCCTAGATTAACGAACCTTCGGACTAAGAAAAAGAGATTTAATTTTTTTTATACAAGAATAATATCCGAATAACAAATTGAAAGAAAATAATTTTACAGTTTGATAATTAAACAATTTTAATTAATACGTAACCACATGCAATTATTTGTCTTCCCTTTCGGATCTTTTTAGATTATATTTTTCATGAAAAACTGCCAGTATAACTTTATAAAAGATATTAATTAAAAATAATATTCAATAGTTAAGTACATAAATTTAAATTTCTATTACATACTTAGTAATACTTAAACATACATAATTTTCTACTAATTTTCATTTTTTCCTGTTTTCCTTCCTGCTTTTTCAACAAAAAAAGTATTAAGTCAAAAACATGAAATATAGAGGTAAAAATATTCCTTATTCCTACTTTCGTTCAGAAATCATTACGCGAATATACATTTACAGTTTTTTAAAATATGCGATTATTATAGTTGTTTTAAGTTTTACCACAATATTTTCGAAGAAAGACAATGTTTTAAAACTGCTATGTTTTCGACCCGCTTTACTTTCGTCGAAGATGTTTTATACCACGATGTTTCAGAACTGCGAAGTTTTCTCCTTGCTTTCTTTTCTCCTACGATGTTTACTACGACGACGTCTTCTCTGCGATGTTTTCGTCTGTAAACCAGTGAACTGTGTTTCAGTATAAAAACAAATAGGAAATTTTAATACTTCTGAATGAATATTTTTATTTGCTTATTTAAATAACTTATGCATGCATTTAATTTCTTTTGTAATTTATATCACTTGTAAATTAGATAGACAATGATCAGCAACAATACACATAATACTAATAAATAAATAAAAAAATCAGAATGACTACATTAATTATTGCTATAAATTATTTTTTAATTACAAAATTACGGTTACCTAATTTTGTTCTGAATGGAAGAGAAATATTGGTATTTCTAAGAAGGAATATCGGTATTTCTAAGGAAGCTGCAAACATGCTTATACTCTAAAAACATTAAACATTTACATGCACAACATCCTTCATATCCATTACTGCCAATCCTGAATTTTTCCTCTTATTTTTTGTTTGTTCTTTCTTGTAAAATGTTTCCTTTTCTCAACAATAGCTTACTTCTCTCTTTTTTTTTTTTTTTTTTTTTTTTTTTTTATCAGTTTCTTACTTTTATACAATTCTTCGCACAGTGAATTTTTTTCCCTTTTAATCCTCTGATCGGCCCGGGTTTTCCCTACGAAAGCACAGGTTTCCCAAAACTATCACGAGAAACAATTATTTTCTTGAATTTAAGGTAACCAACTGACTTTATTCAAAAGGCCGACTTCGGCTAAAAAAAATTTTTTTGGGGGTTATTTAGCATTTTTAAAGGTCACATTCTTAGCTATCAAAAACAAATTTTTTGTTCTTGGTCTGGTAATTAGGAGTGGAGATCTACCAGTTTTTTTGACAGGCAACAAACCGGAAGTTACTGTCTTTCACATCGGAAGCCAAAGTTTAAAGGGCAAATTAAGAATACAATTTTCATATTTTTTTATGTTACTTTTTCATTAAACAATTTGAAGCATTTCAGTGTCCGGAGAACCTGGAAAAGTAATTTTTTATTACGTATTTTCTCATTTTCGTTTGACAATGTGAATAGTTGTGTATATACTATGCCATGACACGTCAATCTGAAAACTTTATATGCGATTTTTTTCATTAATTTTTTTTATGATTTATGTTCAAAGTAACCAATATAACTACAAAAGCTCTTCATAGAATCACTTGCAATTTTGCACAGAGAGTTTGTGCATTATTATACATGTTAAAAAAATAAATTTATAGTATGTATTTCTTAAATTTTGAGTGTTGACTATTTGACCATATATACTAGTGAATCAATATATTCCTATTATTCTACCTCACTCTATCATGAGTATTTATAACATAAAATCAAAAACATGTTTTTACCATCATTATTTTCTTGTCAGTGGTGGGTGATGTTTTTGTTAATTTCGATCTAAAATTTTCAGTTTTTTGCATACATTTCACAAAATAATGAATTTTTATCACTTTTGTAGTGAATAAATAAGTGTGAGTGCAGTCCAATAAAAAATATCATAAATTCAGAAACATAACAAAGAAAAAGGCCCTTCGAACGAGGTCCGTTACCTTAAAGTCAAAATGCTCCGGGTACTTTATACCTGAATTTATGTACTTTTAATGCATATCCTTAATTCCTTAAACATATTTTAAGATAAACGTATATATACGCTCTTATACGTATATATACGCCACAAAAATAATCTAGGCTGTATATATACGGGTTTTGCTGGTCAGAGGGGAGGTAAAGATCATATATGCTCCAAAACCATAACTCCTCAGACATGGAATAGTTTAATTCTTTAGATGGTCAAACAATCGTCAGCACAAGATTCTGATTGAGGATTTTAATCTCAATCTTGGAAAAGAATTTACTTTGAAAAAATTTTAACAAACTATTTTTCTTCAATATCTCCACATTTAGTTTAACATTTTGTTTTGTTACACTCTTACATTTACTTTACAAGAAAGGAATAAGCTATATTTTACATATTTTAATCTTACGGAAAACAAAATCCTTTGCACCAAAAAACAACGAAATGTTCTCATACGTGAAGTAACTTTTATATTTCATTTATTTATTTTGTGTTATACTCTTCCAAAAGAACCAGATGACTGTAATTTTGAGTAATTAATGAGCTCATTCACGAAATGTAAATAAGTTTATTGTTATTATTTATGGCTGATATATGACTTACAAAACTTAATAATGTATTTACACTGGTGTTAAGTTTTCCCTTTACACCGGCGTTTCTCAAACGTTTTTCGAATGGGGATCACTTTTATAAGTTAGAATGATCTGAGTACTACCTTCTTCTTGTACGTTTCGAAAGCAATGTTTTTAAACGTATATTCTATAAGTCTATTTATATTTTTAAAATACAATTAATTAAAATTTATTTTATTTTATGATGGTATTAATCATAATTGAATCGATAGAAGAAATTTTATATTTGTCTTTTATTATTCAAAGCTATTAATGTGTGGATAACATTAATAGCTAAAAATTAAATAACTGCTGGGACTCGCATTATAGATGTGAATGAGCCTCCTAATTCTTACAAAGCTGTTTTATGTTTGGATATATATGTCGATAAAATTAAGTCTCGGCCAGGCCTATTTATGTACTTGGTCTTTATTTGAGTCGGCAGTGAAAACGTTTTCTTTATACAGTTACGTAGAAGCAAACTGAATTACAGTGTTTAAAGCATCATTGCGCAGTTCTCTATATTCCATTTTCGCTGGTTATGTCCAGAATATAACAATTTAACAATGCCTTTTGCTTGGAATTTCGTTAAACATCCTGTGTCGCTGGAGAGTTCAGATAATTGTTCTCTTTCATTCAATAACACTTTGGTTTTTCAAATTTAATTAAAGCTATCAAGAACCTATGAAAATTTCTTATATTTACCCTTTAGGAAATGAGTTTCAAACAGTGACTTCAGAATTTTGATTATGCAATCATATGTCACTGCAGAATCCATTTCCAGTGTAACGGTACTGTTTTCTACTAAATGAGATTCTAAGGCTGGAAATGGCAAAAATTTAGGCTTTATAAACGAATTCACAAACCAAGTTTCATTTCAAACCTTAACTTTCGGATGGGCACTGAGAATAGCTAAGAATTACCTCGTAGACAGACATTTAGTGAATTTACTATTGAGAATACATCTGAAAGATATGCCAGTATACTTATCAACATGTTGTCAGCAAGAAATGATGTGAAATCTTGATAATTTCGATTAAAAATAACAGAACAATTGTGCAAATCTTCGAGAATACCAAGGACAGATCTCGAAGACCACTTCTGGTTCGTAGACTATAGTTTGAGAAACGCTGCCCTACACCAATGTAAAATTATCCTTGATAAAATCACATTATTACCAAGACTAATTATTAAATTTTACAGGAAAAATTTTAAGAGCTATAAAGGGTGGAAGTCTTCAGCGTTCCAAAAGCTATATCCGCGGGCATTTTATTTGTACCAAAACGACTGTCTACTGGAGTCGAGTAGCCTTTGCTTAAGGTTCCTGGAAACACAGGGACTTTTGGAGGGCGGTCGTCAATGACATCATAGTATGTCGTGGAATTGTAATTATCTTCACTTTCTCTTTGGGACTGTCCACTTTCTCCAGGCTTGTACACAACAACAACTTCCTTCGACCTACAAAGAAAGAAATATGTATTAAATTGTTTGCTTTGAATTGCTAACCTAATTATCGATTCTGTTCTATCTCTTACGATTGATCCAAATTCTAGCCGTAAAATCTACCCGATGTGAAATGGAAGTGAAAGACAACACGGATACCATATAAAGAATGGTTAAAAAAAAGAACTTCACCGATATATGAAACATCAAACAATCGCCTATCCACTCAACCAATCGAAATGAAATTTCATATATTGTTATTTGAAAGTATGCTTTTGAGATTGTGATGATTTCAGATAATAGATCTCCCACGGTTACGGTAACAAGAAAACATTTTGACGCATTTTGGCATAACTCATAGTGATAGACAAAAGGAGTACCAATCACAAAATCCCATACGCAAAGTATTATTGTGAAAAACCTTTAATAAACAGTTTAGGAAGATTTTATCTTCAAAAAGGTGTTCGAACGTATTAACAAGATGAAACTTACAGTGAAATAGTGAGGTGAATTGACAAAACTGTTTTATCAGAAGGAAAGAAATACTGTAGCAAAAGTGCGAGTTTATTAAAGAAATTGTAAGCTAAGACGAGGCTCATGTTCCGTAAAAACGGTACATGATTTGGCAAAACAGTTTGAAGAAGCTGGATGCGCATGTGATAGACAGCAATCCGGACGACCATATGTTCCTGCTGAAGTTGTTGAAGACCTACGCTTTTCAGGCTTTAAATTTGCAAATGCATATTGGCATAATGATTTGTGAGCGTGAGAAGGAATGAGGAATATTTTTACTTTTATATTTTAAATTACGTAACTAAGGATTGTTTACTGAAAAATTAAGAAGGAAACTTAAGCATTCAAAAACAGAAAAGGAATGAATACTGCTTATAGAAGTTAATAGAATTTTAGAATTTGATAATTTAAACAAATTTAATAGAGTTTAATCTTTTTATACTATATTTTTCCTGAAAAATTAGCAGTAAAACTTTATGAAGTAGCTGAATTAATTAATGACCTTTATTATTAAACTGTATAAAAATAAGTTTAAAATTCTATTAACTACTATACCTAGCATTATTTTCAACTCATTTTCAGTTTTTGAATGCTTAAGTATTCTTCTCATTCTTTTCAGCAAACATTTATTAGTTAATTCACTTCTTCTTGCGCTCACTAATCATTATGAGAATATGCGAATTTTTAAAGACTGATTTTTGGATGTTTATTTTTTACTATGATATTTTCGATGTCGATATTTTTAAACTGCGAAGTTTTTGAATCGCTTTATTTTTGATGACGATGTTTTCTATACAATGTTTTAGAATTGCGATGTTTTCTCCCTGTTTCTCCAAGATTTTCGCTTTGCTTTTACCTCGACGTTATCGTCCACGATGCATTTGCCTCGATGTTTTTGGCGGACACCGTAGTAGTTAAGAGCATAGTCACACATCCGAAATGGATTATATAATCGTATCATATAATGTGAAAACTTTGCTGGCATGATCAAATACCTATACAGACTGGTATTGCATAACGTTTTTACTGTGTTCTAGTGACCTGGAACTACGCATACTGTTTCAACATAATATGGAATGTCTTACATGACGCAATGAATACTTTAATCGCATTACGTAATATTACAGAATTAACATTACTTTACGTAATTCCTCTCTCTTGGTTACTTTTATTAAAGAAGAGTCCAAATCTGAAAGGAAAGTTTTACTTAAACTCATTAAAATTCTTGAGGTGGAAATTAAATACATAGCAACGTTACCACAAAAGCAAGCAGAGAGTAGGTGTGATAATTCCATATATTCTATATATTCCAAATACTTTTAGGTGACTGGTGACAGATAAAAAGATAAGCTGGGTTTAGCTCCGCGAAGTTCTTAATTAGGGATATTGGGTAAAGGTACAGAGTCCTTCTTGTTAAGACCATTATGGTTTTTGATGCTAAAGACGTGAAAAATGTGCAATCCCCTCGTCGGGACTCGAAACCTGGAACTCTCGAATAAGCTTCCAATTACGCCACGAAGGCATGCAGGTGACAAGTGATAGCAGGGTCGGACACCCGGACGGCTTTCGAAGACTAATCTAAAGCATAACATGTTTACAACATAAAATACCTAGCGTTGCATTACCTACACGACAGGCGGACATTGCATGGCGACATAACATAGCTCAGTATAGACATGACATGGCATAGCATTTCGACGTGACATAGTATAGAATATAGTCATTGCATAGCGACATAACATATTTACAACATTGCATGGCGACATAACATAGCATAGACATGACATGGCATAGCATTTCGACGTGACATAGTATAGAATATAGTCATTGCATAGCGACATAACATATTTACAACACTGCATGGTGACATAACATAGCTCAGCATAGACATGACATGGCATAGCATTTCGACGTGACATAGTATAGAATATAGTCATTGCATAGAGACATAACATATTTACAACATTGCATGGCGACATAACATAGCTCAGCATAGACATGACATGGCATAGCATTTCAACGTGACATAGTATAGAATATAGTCATTGCATAGCGACATAACATATTTACAACATTAAATACACAACGTAGTGTAACTTACACGACAGGTGGACATAGTATAGCGACATAACATAGTTAAGCACAGATAAGACATAGCGACATAACATAGTTAAGCATAGATAAGACATAGCGACATAACATAGTTAAGCATAGATAAGACATAGCGACATAACATATTGAGGTTACATACTTACAACATACAATTCGCAGTGTGGCATGACCTATGCGGCAGGTGGACGTTGCATGGTGACATATCATAGCGTAGCGTAGACATAACGAAGGCATGCAGAAAAGAGGGAGAAAATACCTTATGTACTTCCCTTTTTAAGAAAGACTGAAGATTAGGGTACCCAATCGCCAAATCCTGGTGGTGGCGAACTACTATCCACCACCTTTTAGTTCGGGCGCCACTGTAGAGTCATTAGCATTTCTGATGCTGGAGACGGAAAAAAGTGTGCAGGGACCTCGCCGGGACTCGAACTCTGGACCTCTTGCATATGCGTCCAGTATGCTTCCAATTACACCACAAAGGCATGCGGAAAGGAGGAATAAAATACTTTATCTCTCTTGTCCACAAACTTAAAACGAATTATTGGTGCAATCATTTCTAACGCATGACTTTTTTTGTCCTTTTTCAAACTGAGCTGCAATAAGTAAGAAGATATGGAATAATACACTTTAGTTCCAATTTCATAGCATTTGCAAATTAATTTTTGATGGCCAGGTTTGAACAGAAATATTGTTAGTCCAAAGGGGCAATTTGCCCTGAAGGACTATTAATTTCCTTTTGGCATTTTGAGTTGGTTCACTATAAATGTCGGTTCACTTTTCAAATTGTTGCCACCAAATATTATCGACTTGTGTTATATTTAAAGAAATTAAATAACGAAGAATCTACATAAATATACGTATATTTCTCCCATTGGGATTTCTCGCATTTTTTATTTTTTTAAAATTTTTTATTTAAGAGTATTTTATTTATATTACATTATAAATAAAATACTATACGAATATATTCATACGAATCCGTTGCACAAAAATTTCCCAGAATTACTCCTAAAGTAATTTTAAATTAATCGTTATGACTCAACAAAGCATTATTCTAAAAATTTGATTAATTCTTTGAATTTCAGTAATGTTTTCTAATTCGACTGAAGGAAGTTTGCCTGACGAAACCAGTTAATGACATTCTTTGAAATAAGAATTAATATTTTATTGAATAATTATATAAGAAAGTAAACAAACTTGTGAGCAAAGATATAAAAAAATCTGACCTTTCTTTTGACGAAACAAATAATTCAGTAATCAGATTAAAACACTTTACATTTCTAAAATTATGAGTGTAACAAAACGTTGAAGCATATATAAGAGTAAATTACACATTCCGAATTTTAAGATAAAACTTTTCCTAATCATTTCATGACAATCGAATATTCTGAGTTTGCAGTTATATTACATTTTTGGTGATTAAGCATTAGAATAAGTGTGTATAGAGAAGCAAGTAATATCGCTGCCGACTATTTCAAACAGAAAAGCATTAAAGTTCTACTTTACTTGTTAAATTTAACGAACTTCCTCGGAAACAGCATTTTTCTAGACATCATTGATCCATAAAACTTTGAGCAGTTGGCAGAACGGCTTTTCCGAGAACTCGTTAAGTTTATAGATTACATTCAACAACTCGTTAAGTTTATAGATCCAGAAATATCGTTAAAGATATACTTTTTTTCTTTCGTTGAAAAAATGATAAGATTTCGATTCGTTCTCACCGAGCTGTCTGTAAAGAAAATTAATAATAAAATTTATGTTTTCTGAACTGGAAACCTAAAATAAGAACTCTATTTACTGATATTTTTTATTGTATGGCAACATATATCGCTTGTTCAAAAATCTAAGAAGTCCGAGAATAGTAAAATTTTATTTACATGAATCACAAACCTTCTCTGCATCATCGATTTAATGACTTTTATAACAACAAAAACAACAACGCAAGGGGGAAAAATGAGCATAGTCTTGTTCTCAACGGTTTTGCTAAAATTTTTTGTGATTTCAAAGGACCTTAAAGTGAGTACATGTGATACGATAAAGCACACAACTCGTAAGATTAAGCAAGAAAATCAATTCTAAAGTTCTGAGTAAAATTTAAAAAATTCCCATTTGTTGAGCCGCAAAGAGCTATTAATGTCTTTAGTTTAAATGTTCTTTAAACTTTAGTTTAAATATTCATTTGCCTTCAACAATTTTTTTCTTTTTGTTGTTAATTCTTTTACGTGTGATTTTATTTCGAAAGAAAATTTAATCGTGAAAAATATTTTTACGGAAATAACGTAATAAGGAATATATTATAAAAATGCTGAACAAAAAACGCAATTTTTCATTTACTTTTTCTAATTTGTAATTTTCAGTTAAGATATTTTCATCTGATTTCTGTGTGTTCAATAAAAAAATATTGCCACAGGATGATGATTTTGTCATACAATAAATATTATGTTAACAATTTTTGTATATATGTAAATAATTTTAGCGTAATGGTAGTACTTTTATGTATAATATAACATGAAAATCTAAAGAAGTGTAGCTTTGCCGGAAAAATAAGAATACCTCTATTTAAGTCTATTTAATATTGAGTAAATGGCTCTTTCGTTAAATTGGGGAGATACCACCAAGCTGGCGATGGTTTGGGGGACTAACTTTTGTCCCCTAATTTGACAAGGAATACTTGGTGATATTTTGGTGCAGTCCCTGTATAACTGCAACGGGTAATGTAATTGATCCTATATGTAGTTGTAACCATATCTGACCCTCATATTTCTTCCAGTAATTTCGAGAAATGGAAGGTACTAGAAATCTCTCGGCGGCCGGGTGAAAACCATACGAGACCGAGGAGAGCATTAGTTTCGCAGTAGTAGTTGTTAGTAGAGAGTTCTGTGTGTGTGTTATTATGGGAAAGCCTCGAGGGCTGTCTGCCTAAGGGGAGGATGCCTTCGTGGAGGACTTTTCTAAGGGAAACTGGCTCGCATACACGTTACACATGGGGAAAAAACGAAAACGCCCATGCATCCAGCCCGTTCGCGGGATTCGAACCTCGGACCGAACTACCAGTGTTCAACGACTTTACCGCTCAGCGCTGGTGGGCCCTAGTTAGTAGAGAGTTGAATTCGGAGTATTGAGATTCTGCTAGATAAACGAAACATGTTATGCGTGTTTATATATCTGAAAGAGGACGTCTATTTAAATTTACCACTAGATGCATAAGTGGTAGCGCCTCTATGAAAATGCAACTCAGGTTTGCTTTAAATACGAGCTGTAAAGTTCGTGAGCGTCATTTTATCGTTGAGATTTACATAGTGAGACGTAGTGAGCTGATATTTGTCAAGAATGCCATTAAGAAGACAAAGAAGCCATTATCAACAGCTCAGAATTTGAACGAGGTCGTAAAATGGGCCTACGAGAAGGTGGGTTTTCTTTCCCCCATAATGCAGAAACACTTGGAACGTATCAACAGTGCGTGACTGTTGGCAGCAACGGCCAAGGGAAGATACTGAGTCAAGAAGACCAGGTTCTTGTCGGCCACGTGGCACTACTGACAGGGCAGACCGCCGTGTTCGGCGTACGGCTGTGACGCATCATAAAGCATCTGCAGCAGAAATTCAAGCTGCAGATGGCACCACAGTGACACAACGAACTGTTACAAATCGGTTACTTGAAGGACAGGTTACAGGTTACGGAGGACGGGGACGCCTGGTGTTTAACATAGGTAAACAGGCGTATGTCCCGCGCCCTCCACTATCTAGAAACATCAACTCCCTGGAGCCCCAGGAGGCTGCACCGGGAGTTCATTTGGATCTTAAATAAATTTGTTACATGGCCATAGTAGTTACCCGAGCCAGACGCCTTATAAGGTGCATTCCAACTGACTCCAAACCACCGGCGTTTGCGACATAAGTGGTATCACGCTAGAGCTCACTGGAGGACGGAGTGTAGATTTGTTGTGTTTTATGATGGAAGCCACTTCTGCCTTGATGCCAGTGACGGCTGTTCGTTGGTTAAAAGGAGGTCAATTGAGCACGTGCAATCAACCTGTCTGCTGCCTAGACACGCTGGACATACACGTGAAGTTATGGTCTGGGGAGCAATTTCGTATGATAGCAGAAGCACTCTCGTGGTTATCCCACGCACCTTGACTACAAATTTGTATGTCAGTCTGGTGATTCCACCAGTTCTGCTGCCATTCATGAACAGCATTCAAGGGGATGTTCTCCAATAGAATAACGCGCGCTCTCACACCGTTGCCGTAACCCACATACTCTACATAGCGTCGACATGTTACCTTGGCCCGCTAGATCTCCCGATCTTTCTCCAGTCGAGCACATATTGGACTCCAGAGTCATCCACAATCAGCATTAAAAATTCCTGTATTGACCGACCAAGTACAACAGGCATGGAACTCCTTTGCACAAACTGACATCCGGCACCTGTACGACACAATATACATACACATTTGTATGCTTTCATTCAAAATCCTGGCGGCTACACTCGTTATTAATGTACCAGCATTTCTAGAAGAAAACTGCCATTCTATTCGATGTAAGTTATTTCTGAAATAAAAAGAATGAATTTTTCTACAGACTAATAGATCTGATATTAATTACATTTTCTTAATCGTTTATTTTCTTAATAATTCTATATTATTTTTAATAATCTATCCTTATTAATATAAATTTTAAGCATAAAAGACACATCATAGTTCTTTCTATATAAATTAAGTACATCAAAGTGATATATTTTATAATTTGGCTGCATAAGTTTTAACATATGATGTATAATATTTATTAGCTCTTGCATTATTAATGCATTTAAAAAAAGGTGTGACTACATAGTACTCGTACGTTATGTACCTTGGTTGTAAAATGATATTTTTTTATGAACGGGTCATTACAATTTACCTAAAAGTTATTGGACATAAATTACTCTATATTATCCTATCGTCAGCATCAGTAATTATCAGAAATCAGAGATACTCCAGAAATTAAAATTAATTATAAACATTCTCACCGATTTCTTTGGACGCAATATAGAGTTAGTCCTAAGAGGCAAAATATTAGAACGACAAGTACAGTCCCCACGGCAATAGCTGGAAAAAAAAAAAAAAAAAAAAAAAAAAGGAAATCATTTATTAGCATGTAACAGTAGTAAGATGTTATAAATTATTATTTACTCTAGCTTATTCAATATGAGCTAAATAATTTATCTGAAAATCATACATAAGCAACCAAGAAATGTATTTTAAATAAAACAACCTGAGATGATTTTCCAAATACTTCTAACTAGCAATGAATTTTCTGCAATCTAAATGCAGTCTTTAAATTTAAAATTTACAGCAAGGAAATTTAGGAGATAAATTTCGAATATCATATTTCAACGAAAACATTCATTTTGACCATTATTCCGGAGTCCATCTGGACGATTGAAAGTCTTGAAGTCTGTTTAAACGAAGAGTCTATATTATTTCACTATCCTATGGGTTGTTTATTTTTAATTACCATTAACAATTTTTTTCACAATTTTATGCATATCCACTACTATTGGCCATTGTTAGTAAAGCAATTTTTCCATACCAATCTGACTTTTACTATTTAATACTTTTCAAAAATTTAATATTACTTTAAAAATAACGAATTTGTAAATTGGAATTTAAACTTCAAATTGTAATTCTCTTAATTTAATTTTAAATAATAGAATTTTAATAGGAGTATTCCCCATTAATTATAATTACATATATATTATATATTATATATATATATATAATAAAATTCATAATAATTTATAATAAGAAAAAACTGCACTTTTACGACAACTCTTTTTACTTCCATCACTTAATACTTGAATTTTCAGACATTTGGTTTTAAAATTTTGAAGACAAGTTTGTTAACTTTAATGTACTAGTTTGATCTTTAAATTTCTAATTAACTAAGATTTTTATTTAAGATCATTTTTTTTATTTTCTTTGATTTTGAATAAAATTTTAATTGTTTACTTCTGTTTTTGAATTTCAATGAGAGTGTAGGTGATATGACGTCTAAAGTAAGCATCTCGTACAGATTAATTGTGTTCTTAATGAGAAACTTTAATTTTCAGGTTATTTGCTATTTTGTTTTACAAGATTCTTATGGTTTAACTGGACTAATGTCTTTATTTGGATTAAGTATTAGTTGTACTTATGGTTTGAATCTAGCGAATAATTTGATACTTACTTGGAAGTAAGATGAAACACTCTCTTAATTTAGTTGTTGTTAATTGATGGTAGATTGGTTTATTCCCTTAGTCGATTAATCCTAAGTCGATTAATCTGCGATCAATGACAATAGCTGCTTATTCAATATTTAATATTTACTTTTGGTGTTGGATTTTTGCAATTAAAGATTTTTCTTAGCCGATTTATAAACAAGAGTTTAAATTACAATTTAAAATATTCTAAAGAATTTTTTCTTTCATGGTTTTAAATTTAATTTGTGTTCCTTGGAGATGGTATATGGAAAGATTTCTTATTATAAATTATTATGAATTATTGGTTTATTACTTTGAAGCTTTAGCGCATGTTTTAGGCTTTTTAATTTACTTTTAATTACTTTATTTTGAATATATATATATATATAATTACAAAAAAATCTTTTTAAAAAACAGGATATACTCATGTCTAGAATTTTTGCTCATTAAACTGCTGAAAAAATATCAATAAAGATATAAAATAAGAAATTTAGAACCAATTTTTCACAAAGACTAAATATTGAAATTCATAAGTAATAAATTTCAAATATTCCTATTAATGCAATAAAGAATTTAATAAATGTTAAAACCAAAACTCCTCAAACAAGCAATACCCCAATTAAAAAATCACAAAATTTAAAGAAAAAAGAACATAATAGAAGAGGAATTCAATCAACCTCAACGCCATTTCGTGAGGAGGAGGAACATTTGAAACCAATTGAAATCTCTCTCCCTTCCTTGCTTTGTGGAGGGGCCAGAAGTTTCGGGTGAACTATTATAATTAAAATACATTGAAATGGTTCATCGGCCAATTCTGAATACATAAAAGGAAGGATTTTGTTGAAGAGAGATTTCAATTGATTGTAATTTCCTCCTCCTGACGAAGTGGCATGAAGGTTGACTGAATTCCTCTTCTGTTATGTTCTTTTTTTTTTACTTCGTTGTACGAAGTAAAAAGGAAGTATTGTAATCGTGAAAAGTTTCAGGCAGCATATTTCAACGAAAATATCCATTTTGAACATTATCGAATGCAATTTAACGACATTTTTGCGTGATATATGTACGTAGGGACAGAATAAAAGAATCGTTTCCTCCAAAAAAATTATAAAACTGCTTTAAAATTAATTCTGAAGAGAATTTTTCGTGGCGTCTGTAAGAACGTATGTACGTACGTGCGTACGTACGTATGTATCTCGCATAACTCAAAAACGAGTAGCCTTAGAACGTTGAAATTTTGTATATAGGGCTGCTATAACATGTAGATGTGCACCTCGTATTTTGGTTGCAATTGGCCGCACGAAACGTATATAAATATATTTATATATATATCCACTCTGTTACCCGCCTCAGTGATCTCAGTTTCTTTACTCTTATATGTTTGTAAATTGTACATTTTTTGCTTTAAAGTGATTGAATTATGTTATTTTTATATTCCGGTTAAGGTTTTTATGCCTTTAGTAAATCTGTATGCAATATTTTTAGAATTATCAACAATTTTAAAGTTGTTTAAGTGCCGCTAAACCTTTTTTTATGGCGACCGTTGATTGTTTACATTTGAAACAGCAGACTAGTGGATTTGTTGCCAATCTAGAGAAACTTAGCTTCGCAACAACAAAGATAACGCCTTCATTTATTATTGCCAATTAAATCATGCTTAATCCTTTCTGGAATTTTTTCGAGGAAATAAATGTTTAAGATTTACTTCGTAATTTTTAATATAGATATTTTGAGTTTTTATGTATTTTTGCCTTCTCGCGAAGTGAGAACTGAATTAATTGAATGAGAAATACTCAATCGTCTGTGAAAAACTGTTTCATTTTTGTTTTATTTGCTTAATTTCTTTTATACATCATTCTAGCTTTATTATAGTATTTGAATAGAACATGTGGCAACGATTAGATAATTCTATTCTTTAAATGATATAAATTTTGCGCATTATGAGTTATATGAACGAAATATAATACTATTAAGTGAATCTAGCGCCAGTGTGTCGCTATGGTAAACAAATACAACAAAGATAACGCCATGAGTGAATTTTAAAGAATGCATTTATTCTATTGTGGTTCATGCGCTGTCGGCGAAGTAGATTTAATTCCATCCAATAAGTTTAAATGAAATGCAAGAAAAAATGCGTATAATTTAATATTCCGTACAAGGAAGTCATGTGGTGTACACAGCAGATTTTGTTTTTAGTTTGATTGACTTTTTGAATTGGGGTAATGCTTGTTTGAAGGGTTTTGGTTTTAATATTTGTTAAATTCTTTATTGCATTTATAGGATTATTTGAAATTTATTACTTATGAATTTCAATTTTTGGTCTTTGTGAAAAACTGGTTCCCAATTTCTTACTATATACCAACCCTTTGCCGGCTTAAAAGTCCTTACCCAATCTTTATTTTTTCATTCGTTGGTCGTAGTCATATACTTCTAATTACAGAAGTGTTTTAAATGACGAAAATACTGATGTTTTGGCCATATCACATTAAAAAAATTAATTTCGACAAATAACGAAATCTATCTACATACATAACAACAGTTTATATACGCAGTCTAACTAACAATAACAAGTTTGAAATGCCGTCTGCTCTGAATTAATTCACCTAAATAGATAATTCGCTAAATAAATCATCGGCAAAAGTAACTGAATTTTAAATTAATATAAATTAAAAAAAGTTTAATTTCCAAGTTCAGAGAACATGCTTTCTAATTTTCATTTCTTATCTAATATAGTATGGAAAACTGGAATAAATGAAATCCTTACGTTATGTAACTCTCAGCAACTCCCACTGAAATTCAGTAACCTTTTCAAAATATCGCTTGTTGATTAATGAATATGATTTATCCCATAATTTAACAATTCTTTTGCAAATATGCTTTAAAATATGCCAATGCCTATTTAAATTTCAGAGTAATTTCATAATTGAATTAATTACGAATTCAATCTTCGATGATTATTAATGAAGTGATGTTAAGTCCTTTCGCTTTGACTTTTAATTAATCATTTACTCTGCAAATATTAAATGCTAGAGAAGTTCATTAAAATGAAGTAGCTCTATATAAAGTAATATATTATACATTTAGTAAAATTTATTTGAATCAAACTTTAATAAAATAAATACTATCACATAACATATGAGAGTTATGAGTTTATTAACCATTTATGAGACTACTAGGAAGATGATAAGCAGAGTAAAATTACATTCGTGAATGTGGGGAGTTTTCAGACATTTCGTAAATATTAAATTTTAGATTTTATCATATTTGCTAATTTTTATTATAATTACTAAATTGTTTTCTTACTAAAATAATTTAAAAGTTCTTTTTTAAATTTAAAACATGTTATGAATTTCATGTGAGAAAACAAATAACACATTAAAACTAAAAATATATGCACGTATACAATATTTAAGTGTAAAACATCGTTTACTGAAATAAAAAATTTTAATGTCATACAGTGGCGGATATATTGCCAAAATTTGAATTCTTTAGATAGGAAACCGTCAATGTAAAAAGTTAAAACTATATATGCCAGTTACTTCTGTTAATAGTTTCAAATTTAATATACATGTGATGTATCAGCTTTTGTCCAGAATAAATAGATAGTTGAAGAAATATAGATGTAGTCGTAGCTTAAATTATCAGACGATAAGTTTAAAAACCAGGATCCATTTATTATTATTCAGGAGAAATAGCAGTTACAAAATCAGATATCCAAAATAAAAATAATTACTAATAACTTTTTGTATGAAGTTTACTGCATCGTTGCATTAAAGAAAAAGCCCCGATATTCTTTTGCGAGTCCTTTTATAGCCTCTGGAAAGGCGGAGCTTCCAAGAAATGATGTCAGCCTCGTCAGCCAATCCAGTTCGCTTTAAATATTTCCAAACCATTCTATAACTGTACGTGTAGAAAAGGCGTGAAAAACAACTTGACTACGGGGCTGTGGTTTTAATTCCACGTACTTTCAAATAAGAGAACGTAGCCATTAAAAATGAATTACATACATATTATGAAAGTGTTAATTAAATCCTCTTATACGAAAATTGTGTGCAATCCTTGGACTTGATTTTTTTGAAAAGTTATTAATGCAAAACGAAGATTGCGAATTTTTCACAAATTTAATGATTTAATTCATAATTGCCTCGAAAATTATGTGCTTTCCTCTCGTTAAAATTTTCTAACAACAAGGCATGCAAAAATGTAATTTGGATCGTAAGGCCTGTAATCTTTTCTAACGATAAGGTATGTAATAATCGTTTTGTTACAATTTCATGCTGCTGGCCACAAAAAGGCGCAGCTTTTTTATTTTATGTTTATTCTTTTTTCCTTACCGCTTTGCGGATTTTTTGATTGAGATGTAATGGGAAGGATAGAAAAGTAAGATAAATGTTCTTCTGTAATCAAACGAGCTGCAAATAAAATTTTCCGTGTGAAAAAATGGCAAAGAATTCCAAGTATGTGAATGTCTTCAAGGAAAGGTCGGCAGAAAGGTTGGTTAATCTTTGGATTATGGTAACTTGGCACTTTTTTGGCGAAAATTTGGCGACCAACCCTGATACAGCAACCTGCTAGTTTTGTTTTGGACGCCATTTTGTTTTCACGAAGTAAAGGCACTTTTTTTTTTTTTCCAACAATCTGCTAGCCGAATTACGCTTATGCTAGAACTTTTATGGAACAAAAATGCTTAATCATGACGAAGATTAGGTGCGAAATTGGGAGAAAGTGCAGAATCGCAAACTGCTTGCCGCGTTTTTAAGAATTGCACATACACGGTATCATCCATGTACACGTCGACCTATTTTCACTTAAAAAAACATCCCAGAATTGCACAAAAATGGCATTGCGCACACTCTTGACTTTATCCATGTACACTGCTAAAGTCCTAGCTAGTAACCTTTATCGCCTTACCAAAATGTCGCCAAACTATCTGTTACCATATTCCAAAGATTAGCGGAAAGGTTTTCTTATCAAATATTATTAGATGAAGGTAACAGAATGAAAATACAAATTAGAAAGACAGATGTAATTAGGTGTAAATTACGAGAAAACAGTAACCATGAGAGTGTAATTATTGAGAATATCCAAATCCATTAATTAACTATTATATTATTATTTAGAAGCGAATTTTTGAGATGACTCATAAGCAAATTTAATTAAGATTTGCCAGTTGCAGCAAATTGCAGAAGTTAACTAGAGTAATTGAGTCTCATTCTTAATTATAACTAAAATAAGCTAATTTGAGTTCTTAGAGGATCAAATTTTCAAACCAATCATTAGATTTAAATAATGTAGGGAAGCAAACACTCGGAATACCGTCACTACGATTTAAGTTACATTCATTATAATTATATCCATTTTACTTGTACGCTTTTATCCATTTTACTTGTGCTGCTTTTGTATTTAATGCTTTTTGATTGAAGGTGCGAAATAAGGGTAGAGAAGATAGAAGAGAGGAGCTAAATAATGGCTGTAAGTAAAATAATAGGACTTGAAATTTCTATGGCTATCAGTTAGCTTATAATCACTGTTCACCTTCATGATTATTATACAGCATCGTATGAAAGGCTATTAATTTTATTACGGGATATTATCAGGAGTCCAAACTAAAACCCACGAAAATTTCACTAGGTAGTATCTAGTGTTAATAAGCGTTAATAAATGGTACTTGTATGATCTATAATAATGTCTACCTTCTCTCATGAATTATTGCGTTCGCATAATTTGGCACCAGTCCTCTAATTCTACGTCTAGGGATACTACCTCTAATCTACATCTTTCTAATTCTACGTGCAAATATACCATTCAATTTCATCTTCAAGTATTTATCGTCGCAAACACGCCTATAAATTGCCTTCTGGCATTTTATTCTCAAGTACGCAATGTTAAGGAAATCATCTACCATACATTGACAGCTATGGAGTTATGGAAATATCTATAACCTTTCATGATATTTTAGCTGGATTTGTACTTTTTCTTTCAAATCCGTGGTTTCAGAATCTTTTTTAGGAGAAGGATACAGAAATAGAGCAACATAAGTTTTTTTCCACCTACCCCCCCCTAAAAAAGTTAATTTGCTGCTATAAAATTTTGTTTTTATATTTGATTTTACAGTTATGATTGTTGTTTCTCATTCTTTTGATATGAAATATATGGCTAGATTTGATATGAAATATATGGCTAGATCAGCTCCGTGAGTTGTATTGTGGCCAACATGCAAGGACTGCCCTTATCGTTTGTCTTAAGTATTGGGCATCTCGAATTGTCCAGTCCAGGGTACAGTTCGAATTTGTCCAGCTCTGTCTGAGTTTTGAAGGAGAATCCCCCGTGTTACGGATCCGAGGATTTTGCTCCCTTCCTCTATCATCAAGTTCCTGGAAGAACTTTCGGTTCGACAGATTTTACGTACCATAATGCTGTAGCGATACTCTACATTTACTAAAAACATCCATGCCTTATCAGGGATTTCAACTCCTGCCCCCCAGGGCTATGGAAACCGACATCCCTACCGTCATACAAAAAGAACGGTGCGCATTTAGAGCAAATGCCTCTTTTGTCAAGAAAATATCATTAGCCTACCAGAAAATTGGCTTAAAATATATCCATATTAAATTTAGCATCAGACAAAATTCAGACTTAAACAATTTGTTATATAGGGTGGCCCAGAAGTCACTTTACATTTTGAAAATTAAATAACTTTTTTTCTATTAATATATTTCTTTTTATCTTTTCAGAATTAAAAAATATAATCCCTGGAAATTTTTGGCATGGATAAGTTTACAACAGAACAACGAGTGAAGATAATTGAATTTTACTTTGAAAATGGACGGTCAATTGTTGCAACGCAATATATGCGCCATTTTAATGTTCGACTCCCCCTAGTAGGCCTGCAATAAGGAACTTAGTGACGCGTTTTCAGGTTCAATTAGGCAATCTTTAAAACCAGCAGACTTTCAGAAAACGAGTAAATTATGCTGTCAGGTTCAGAGAACTGCAAGAAATGACAATGAGTTTATTCACAAGTTTGATCATGGGAGATGAAGCTCATTTCCATTTGGAATGGACATGTGAATAAGCAAAAAATAAAAAGAATTAATTAAATACAGTCATTTAAGAAAAAGTTATTTAATTTTCAAAATGTAAAGTGACTTCTGGGCCACCCTATACAAAAGCTTAATGCAGAGAATATGGTAAAAGTCCCTTGAAATATATGGGCAAAAGAATTCTGTTTGTATTCAATAAAAATTTGAATGTAAATAATTCTATCGATGGTTCGATTCCCACAGTAGGAGTACGTAAGTCCTGGAAAGAATTACTATAAGTAATGCAAGTTTTGCTGGGTTGATCTTAACTAAAGCTTCAATTATGTTGTAAGGTACAAGGTGAGAAATTTTGAAAATAAACTTTGAAAGCAAAGTGTAGACAGTTTCGTTAAGAATAAATATACCATACTGCCACCACTTAGAAAAACTTTCTTGCACTTTCCATTTCACGAGCAGAGCAGAAAGAACAATAAAAAAGAAAGGCCGAACTAGTCAGCTAATATTGAAGATTTATATTCAGGTAAAACTGATGGTTTATTTGTAATTTTTAATTCAAGTTATAGGCATGATTCAAAAACAATTACGGGCAATATTTCTAATAAACATATCAAACCCATAGGAGTTCCTAGATTTAATGCTAAAAATATGGAATATTCACTAATTAATTTTAAATCATGTTACAAAATGTCTGTTGCTATGCGGCGGTATAATTGTTTGTGTAAATAATTCTGACTTTGGAAACAATACAAAGTAAGGAAATGATGATTATTACACTTTCGCTTTTCTATTTTAGCATATGCATTTACAATTAACGTAATTAATATCCCAAGCACTTAAAGAAACTATGAACTAATTGAATGATATAACCTATTTCCTAGCACAGAATATAATTTTAGATTATTATATTATAAATTTGTATTTTGGTTAATTTATTAATAATAAGTTACTATTTTTTATATCAAAGCATTCTAGATTCCAATTATAAATTTAACTATTCACAAAACAAACATTTAAATTATTAAAGATTAAGATAATATATTTATTACAAATTATCTTTAAATCCCCATATTTATAATAGTAATAAATTATATTTTTTATATCATAAAATTTTACAATTCCATTAAATTTCACTATTCACAGAAACAAACATTTAAATTTTTAAATGCCCTATTTAATTTTTTAATTACATATTTTAATCTTCGGATGCATTTGGCAATTAAAATTGATCTAGAAAGGAGTAAATACTTAAGCTATTGAAAATTTAAAAGCTTTACGAGTAGATCTAAAATTACAGCATTTTTATTATGATTTTCGAAAATGAAAAGCACCACGATAAAATAGATATTAATATTTTTTAGTCATTTAACTAAACAAAGGAATTTTCTTACCTATTATCTTAAGCGATTTCTTATCATCTTGCTTTTTTTCTAGAAAAAAAAAAAAAAAAAAAAAAAAAAAAAAAAAGAATCAGTTTTGATAAAAATATTAAAAAATTACACTGAAGATGTTACTAAAGTTTCCGAAAAATTTATGAGAGTAAAAATTACAAATGAACATACTGCTTTTAAACAGTACAGTAACAGTTCTGTTTTGAGCAGTACAGTTGTCAGAACATTCTATGTGGAAAAACTAAAAGACCAGTAAGCAATATTTTTAAAACATACGTAATAATATATCATGCAAGAAAGAAACTACAGAATGCCATTAATTACATTTCCCCCTGGTTTAAAGGATGGAAAATTAAAATTAACTCTGAAAAATCAAAAGTGATTTACTTTAAAAAAGGAAATATTCCTCAAGGACTTAGAAGAAATTACGATGGACGGAAAATCGTTCCACGCGCCACCAAATAATATCTAGGTGTTTATCTCGACCAGACGTTAACTTTTCAAATTTCATGTTAATTATATCAAAGCACAACGTGCCTTAATAGCATATATCCTTTGATGTGCAAACACTCGAAGTTAAATATCAACGCTAAAAGAACACTCTATCTACAGGCATTCGACCCATATTCTATATACCGCCCGGCGTGGCAGCTACTGCACGTTCAACCGAGCAGGCTCAAAAGTTTTCAGAGTAAAACCTCAGATCCTATCGAACTCTCCTGTTTCGTAGGAACACTGTTCCATAATTTCTAAAGATTTTAACCATTAGATGCCGAATAATAAAGATTACATTCAAATTCTACGAAAAATGTGATTCCTCCACTCACGATATTAAAAACATAGGGTACGACTATCTATCGAACAGCCGCTAAACGGCCAGAACTATACATCATAATGTTAGATGGTAGTTCTTGGATATATTTATTATTTTCAACTATTTAATCTAGATTTTGTTTCATCTTTATCATCCCTTTCATCTTATTATGGACTTTGCCCGATACCAAGGCTGCTGACTTTATCATCATTAAATTCGTATATGACGTTATCAGGTTCAGTGTTCCGCCTTACTTGCTTAGGGAACATTCAAGAACCTGACTCGGAACAGGGAGCTTACTAAAACTATGTTCAATAAATGTGGGAAGTAGACAAGATACACAGAAAGGGTATACGAAACCCTTTATTTTTCACTCTTTAGAATGATTTCCGGACTTCGGAATACAGAGACCAACCACTTGTGGTCTGAACGTAAGCATATAAAAATATTAACTAAACTCTAACTTAACTTTGGAGTAACAAACAAGTCCTTCGAGAAGATTGGCCGTATATTAACAGGGAGTCGTATGTAGTACAGAGAACTGTTAACACTATGATACGTTTAAAATTATCAAGAGGATTAAACCTCTGGCCTGGAAGGCAACCAGCAACCGAGTAAAACTTGCTAAGGTAAGCGGCCTGCTTCTACTAACTCCTTCCTCTCTCTTGCTTGGCAAAAAGCCACAACTTAAGTACTTGGCGTTCGCCAGACAAATTTGCATAAATAAGTTAAAGCTTTTAATTCTGGCCGGAAGTAGAAAATAAGAAGTGATAGTAAAGATTTAAAATAAAATAAACGTTAGTAAAACTTAAGATCCTTACAACGTGACAGTCTACTTCCCTATGAGTATTAAGATATAGGTACTTCCGCCTCAGACGAAAGCAGAAAAATTTCTGGGACTTGTATATATTTTTTTCCATTCTTACTGCACGATACTGTGTCAAATCTACGATAATGTGTAAAAGATATGCCGTTGCGAAAAGATATGCCGAAATTATTAGTTGTTATTATTGCTTATCCAACGAAGACTTCCTCTGTGGCCGATATATGGCGTCACCCTGATCAAGTTCTTCACCACTGAAGACTTTTTGCACTTTTATTACAAGTGCACAGGACTTTTACTTTTTTATGGAATTTTACGAACTTTTACAGGTCCTTAGGGGATTGATAAACATGTAGTAGTAAGGACCTTTGGGTCGAACACCATTTAACGAATGATGATCTCCGATCTCCGACGTAATAATTACACAGTCATAGTTACAGCAGCAGAGGAACAATTTGCTGCCAATTTCTAGCCTAAATTGATTATCAGATTTGAGTTAATACGACGAATCCTGATTCTTGTTGCCTTATCATCTCAAATAATAATTATCAGATATTACGAGAAAGCCTTGGATTTTTCTTTAGTTATTTTCAGAGCAGACAGAAAGACAAGAGATAAGAGTAACACTTAAATTTCAAGAATAAACTTAATTAGTTGTCTTTGTTTAACCTTCCATGAACCCAGATTTTATCATCTTCACAAACAAACAGCAATTGTTACAGTTTCGTTTTGCTGGCCACAAGATAAAAATTTTCGTGTGATAAAATGGCAAATAATTTCAAGTGTCCTGTGAATTTCTTCAAGGAAAGGTAAGCAGATTTTCTTATCAAATATTGTTCAGTGTTGAAGGCAAAAGTAAGGAGAAACAAATTATAAACGCATACAATAAGCAAAAGGAGTCAGGCACAAGCAAAAACGAAACTAAACTAAAAAACCAAAAGCAAAATGTAATTTTGTAGAATAACGAAGCAAATTTAGCCACAGCTAATTATTGAGTTTCTAAACTAGAGTATTTAAAGAAATAACACCCCAAAATCTAACTTTTACCTATCAGCTGGCCTCTGACAGTAAAAATTCACATTCTCCGCTCCAACAAATACAAAAATCACACACAAAGTTGTTACAGATTTTTTCACTAAACCAAAGCCTTCCTCGTTATTTAAACTTAAAATAAGTTTTGTTCTGGCGAAGGCTGATGGAAGAAACAGAAGGTACGGAAAGAACTAAGATAAAAAATGTGTTAACTGAAATGAAACCTCATATTTATATACCTATTTTTTAATATTTTTTCTTAAAAAATAAGCTGATAAGATTCGTAGAAATTCTCTTAGATACAAAGAATGAAAAACAGATCTTATAAACACTATTCTCTGCTTTGATTTAAAGCCGGATGGAAATGATGTGGGGTTATTCGAACATATTTCCTTCTGTGAATCTACAGCTTTTTTCTTTTACTGTTCATAAAACCTGTATTGAGAAAAATATGATTTAGTCTTTCGACTGTCTTTCGTCGTTTTGTAAGAATTCTGGGAAATAAACCTTGAGAAAAATTTCTTTGTGATGCCAAAAACATCGCAAAAATAAATTGTTGGAATTTTTCTGTCCACATCTGCAAATAAGATATTCTCTGAACATCACAAATATAAGCAAAATACGAGAAAAGCTATATTTGGAGGAAACTGAATTGAAGAAACCAGGATAAATTCCTTTTCCGTTTGAAGATTCGAAAATCTTCTTCTTTAGTAATTATTTTTATATATTTTGAAAAAATGCAGTTTTTTTTTGCCTTGGAATATCTGAATTCTCCATATTCATTTCTTATATACATCTTCAAGTTCCTACCTAAAATATTTATTATTATGAAAAGCAGAATATAGAAATTTCCCAGAAAAGGATTTTAGTAAGCTTAAGTTAAATGTGTTGCTTCAAAATTCTTATTTGACAAATGAAACTTATTTGATGACAAGTTACACCGATTAGAAGTATACCGAAGTCGGTGTATGTAAGTATTTACAATACAAGCTAGTTACTATTAATTCAAAAGTTACTACTTAACACCTCCAGTCTTTAACAATGTAGTAAACATGTTCACGCCCCAAAAAACACAGGAAGGAAAGGTAATTAAATAATTTTTAGTTATAATTAATATGCAGTATTCGCTAATCCCTGTTTCATGTCAGTTAATGCACGCTGTATGGAAAAAAAAAAAAAAGTTTTATATCTCCCGTTCTACTGGGCCGATGGATGACATTCAAATTGCGTTTTTCATGTGTCGAAAGTGCGACTTAGGATATATATTAGATTTATATATAGCATTGTTCTAATATACGTATTTTGACACAAAATCGAACTTTTTCTGAAATGACATGCCAGTTCTTTTTCATATTTCGATTCTACGACTGAAATTATGCTTGGATATTTAATTTTGTAATTTTTGGTGAGAAATTTATGGAGAAATTAAAAAACTAATCTTAGTGCATTTTTTTCAGTTTGCGCCAAGAATAATTCACTGGGCGAATTTCTTAATTTATAGCAACCTATTTTCCTTTCCCTTTTACTTCATTGTCCACGAGCGGGAAAAAAGTCATCGTTCATACTTTCAAATAAATTTTAACAAAGTGTGCAAACCACATTTGGCATTATTATCGCTTATAAGGAATATGTTAAACTTTAAAACGCGCCACAATGTAAATTCACGTATATCGTAGGAAATTTTGAATAAGGAACTCTAATTTTTTGCAGGTATGCTTAAAAATATATCTACTTTAAGTTGAAGGCAAAGCTTTTATGGGTTATAATTCAAAAATGTTTTCGAAAAATTTATAAAAATTTAAAAAAATAAAAAATTACAAAATAAATCATAAAAAATAGGCAAATTTTATTTGGAATGAACCTAAAGTTTGAAATATGAAAGAAGAATCAAATAAGTTTAATAAAAACAGAGATAGATATTAATAAATATGTATCAAATTCAATTAACATGGAGGAGCTAAAATTTTGAGAGCTAATTTTTAAAAACTACTCGTCCGGTTTTTTACAAAAACTTTGTAGTTTGGCATAATTTGAGTCGTAGGATCAAAATAATGAAAACAATTGGCAGGTCATTTCAGAAAAAGTCCGATTTGGTGTCAAATACCTATATTGGAACAGTGCCATATATAAATCTAAAGGCCCGTCCACACGAGTACGCTCGAAACGTAGCTGACGAACGCGCTTTTACGTTACCAGCGTAAAAGCGTACAAACGAGTACGCTTGCGAATAGTGCGTTTTAACCAATAGATTATTTTGCGCAAAAATCCTGACGCCGTATATAGCGTCAACAGAGCTGTATCTTATTTACTTCGCTGTTCTTCTGTATGTTTTGCGGCAAGTTGTCCGAATCAGATGTTTTTTTATAGCTGAAACTTTACTATTATGTGCAATTATTAAGCAGGCACAAACTGCAAAAATGGCAAGAATGAGTCCGAAAGATTTATTTAGAGCGACTTTCAAAGAGTTTTTTTTTTTTTCTTTTTTAGTGCCTTGTTTGCGAAAGGATATCTGGAATTATTAAATTCCTACTATTAGTTCACACTCTCCCTATATCCTGTTTAAATTTCAGTACATAAAATGCTTTTTATTCATCCCTCAGTTCAAATACAATTTTTTAACTTGCAGTGATGACACTTGATGTTAATACAGCTTTTTCACATATTAAATTTTTTAAATTTTAATTTAAAAAATTGTTTTATTTTATTTATTTATTTATTATTTTTGCATTTTTAAACTTTTCTTTGTGGACCTAAGTAGGAATTGACTTAATTTTTTGTTTGTGGGGGGGGTATATTACTGTTTTTTAATTCCTTCAGGATGAGTATCGACCATTTTGACAGACTTGCAGATTCTATATCGTATGAAAATTAGATTATAAAATTGGTTTGGAATACGTATATAAGAGAATTAAATACTAATTCTCTTTATATACACCATCCACTATATAATAAACCAACTTCATATTTTTTTAACTCGCTCTCCCTTGGTCTTTTGTTTTCTTTTTATTTATTTTTGAATTTAGAATGAGGTTCAAACTTCGGACGTTTATGAGAATATGTGCATGATAAAATATGCAATAAAGTAAAAATAAAGAGAGAATTTATAGATGATATATGATAAAGCGATGCAGATATTTTTACATAAGGATTTCTATTTGCATTGCACATTCTTAAACTAATTAAAAACATAATAATAATGTATAAAATAAGAAATGAAAAACAATAATATAGGTAAATAAGAATAATGATTCATGATTAAATATAAGAAACACGTTCAAATGAGAAAAGCTAACTGATTATCCGTCACGGCTGAGTTCGACTGCCACCTTCCATTCCTCCACCAAGCAGAGCGCTGACCCTCGCTATCTGTGATAGCAGTATTTGTGAAAATAATGTACAAGTAGAAGTCGCTGCAAAGGTAATTTAATTAAACTTCAATAATTATTGCTGTATGACCAAGTTGTAATTCCTCCAATTTCGTAATTGTATTTTATTGAATACTCTTTCACAGTCAACTGCTTATTTTAGAGTTATTATATTGCTGAAGTTAGTTTTTGGTGTATGTAATATTGGGATATTTATAGAGCTTTTTATTACACATGATATCTTTCACGTCAACTGCTTTATTTAGAAGTATTATAGCTGAAGTTAGTTTTTGGTGTATTTAATATTGGGATATTATAGACTTTTTATTACACATGATATAGCCATATTTATAATATTAAGGAAATTTTGTAAGGCAGAAACTTTGATTTCGAGAAACTGTAATTTATTTAAGTTCCTATTATACGGTGTTATAAATAGGGAAGCATATGGATATACTGGTCGGATCATTGCTTATAAGATAACGTTTTCCCTTTAATGGAATTTTAAAGATATATATGTACGGTTTGAGAAATTGATTGAATGGCGTGAACAATGCTGATTATTTTATTGCGTATACAGTTATATTTCTAAGCAAAAACTCATCTGTGTGGCTCTGACGCCAAATTGAAAAGGGTAGCAAGAAGGTTTTCTGATATGACACGTGATAAGAACTCGGTCGGCATTGCTATACGCGCGCGTCGCGGGCGAAAAAGTGAACAGAGCGTACCTTTTTACGTCTTCTGCGTCCTGCGAATTTACGCCGGCGTCAAAAAAGTTACGTCAACTACGTCGGGAGCGTCCTCGTGTGGACGGGCCTTAACGCATATCCTAAGTCGTACTTTCGAGACATGAAAAATGCAAGTTGAATTTCGTCAATCGGTCCAGTAAAACGGAAGATATAGAACTGTCCTTCTACCCCGCCTAGTCTACATCTTGTGGCCTGAAGTTTTGTGCATAGAAAATCAGAAAGGGCAGGAAAGAGTGCAAATTAATAATAATTGTTTAAAAACTTCGAATAAATGTTATAGCATTTAAAGTTGAAAATAAAAAATTATGACTAATAATAGCTTGAGTTTACAAATCATTCCTTACCGATGCATCTTGCAGTTGTTTTGGACCATGTGCCATTCTTTAAGCATGTTACCGTGTCTGGCTGTCCAGTCATTTCATAACCTGGATCACATCTCAGTTTCCGTTTTGTGCCGAAGGAAAACTTGTTGACTCTCTCCGTCATTTGCCATTCTCCACCAGCTGAAAAGCTTTCGTTTCCCACGACAGAGTCGCAAAGAATTTCTGGAAAAGACAGACGTAATGTCTTTGCGAGTTCTAAGACTGTCAGAAACAGCAAGAAAGCAGAAAGTACGTTAAAGTATCTCATTATCTTAAAAGTTATAATTCGAGAAAATGTTATTTTAATACTTGCAATAAGAATAATATGCATGCTGTGACGATTCATGCAGAGTTCGAAAATATAAGTTTAGGTTCAAGCATGATCATTAAACGAGCTGTTAACATCATAGCTCTCCTCTATCAAATGTTTCACATCTATCGCATATCTTACCACGGAAAGCATTTGCATGACTATTTTATTGAAGAATGAATTTAGTTGTTGAATTTCTCATAAAACTAGATTATACACTGGCTTAATGTTTATAGATTACTAAGTGAACGACCGTGGAGCAATATTAAACAGTGTTTACAGAGGCTGTTCGCACATTTCCCCTTAGACGATTTTGGTAAGCGGTAATAAAATATCGTTTGCTGCAAAAGAAGTAATTGCAATTGTACTAAGTCAAAATTATCGCCTGTGGCTTGAAAGTTTTGTTTTTATTCAAATGGCTAATTTACAAAGCGTGGTTCGAAGGCTACATTTACGCTCTTTCCGAAGAGAATATGCATACTCCGTATCCAAAACGATGTGAGAGTCAGGGTTTCATGGTTTTGTGAATCAAAGCGTCGATAGGTATATCATCAACAAAAGGAAAAAAAGTCAAATTAGAGCCTCAAGTGGGACAAAAATTCCAACAGTATACAAGGAAAAACGGACATCTTCGACTATTGCAAAGGTACGTTCTTTAATGTTAAAAGAAAATCCCCCTAGTCAAATGACAGTTGCAAAATCATTAAAATGCTCGTTGTCCGCTGTAAACAAAATGATAAACGTTGATTTAAATCTTAAGAAAGCGAAAAAACGCAATGTGCATCGTCTTCTTCCAAAGCATATCGCTCAACGTAGGGCACGCTGCAGAATTCTATATGAGAAACACTTATCCAAAGAAAAATGGAAAATAATTGTCACTATAGATGAAGCATGGGTGTATTTAAATGATTGTAACAAAAAAAGAGCCATTTATTATCATAAAAGAGGAGAAAAAAATTTAATTTCTATTCTACGAGTATTTAATTCTATAGAAAATACATGGTTCAAAGAATCGAAAGAAAGTTTTTCTAAGGGATTCATGATTGTTGCTGGTTTTTCTTATAATGGCAAGTTAAAAATAAAGAGAGTGCAAAAAAAAAAAAAAAAAAAAAAAAAAAAGTCAAGATTAACTCCAAATACTATCAGGAACATATTTTATCGCCAATTTTTCTGAATGAAATACCATCGCTTTACCCACAGTGCCATCAGTCTGTGAGACTCCACCAGGACAAAGCTAGCAGTCACACATCAAAATCCCTGTAAATTTCCTAAAGAAATGGAACAAAAACTGGTATCAAGGCCATACCCTTCACTGATATCCCTACTCAATCTCCCGATGTGTCACCTATGGAGTTTTGTGCTTTCGGACTTATCCAAACGTTGTCCCAAAACCCTAACAGGACTCTGGAAAGCTGTTCGGGAGGAATGGGATAGAATATCTCTTCTGCAACTTCAAAAGGCATTATTATCCTGGAAATTGCGGTGTCTAAAGATAGTTCAGAATAAGGGTTGTCAAATAGAACATTTAAAACAGAAGAATTTTATGTAATTTAGTTTTGTGAATACAATATACTTCTATAAAAATGTATAAAAATGTGTGAACAGCCTCTGTATAATCTCTCTCAATTTCTGGTTTCCTGTCAGAATGCTAATTTCTAATTCGTGAGTACTCATATGAGGTACAAAGAAGATAGCATTTAAAGAGAGGTTTTAGATGGTAGAATTACAGCGCGGTTCGCCTACTGAAGGCCACGTTTATTCTATTGAGAACAGTTTATCTGAAGCGATGCGTTATTGACGCCGATAGTAAGTTTGATTTAACTTGCAGGCATTCTATTTATTGGGCTAACGTACAATCTACATAGTTAATTTCAGTTTATTACTTTTGATTAACGCCGTATGTGTTGGCTGTTTTTGTAAGCATAAGCTGTGCATTCTAATAGGCAAATTCTAATAGGCAATGCTGTTAATTTCTCTGAGTTCATGAAAAGGCTTTTAACATGCATACAGAATTGAAAAAATTCTCTGTTGTAAATTTGAAAAAGTAGCAACAATCCGCTTAAGTTTTCCAAAGTTCTAACTTAGATTCACTTTGTAACAACTTTGAACACCAGTATATTGCATTGAAAAACTTAAGACCAGTATATTGCATTTACATCAAAGTTCGCTGGAAAATAAAACTATCTACTAGTTCACAGATTTACTACAAATTACATCATGCAAAACTATAATAATCTTACATAATTAAAATAACGCTGTACCTTCAAAATTGTAATATTTGCGGTCTATTAGTGACACGGAAGTTTCAGTCATTCAAAACATTACATCAACTTTTAATTAAAAACTAGCTGGATGAATTTGCAGGCGAATCTACGAGATATCATTTTCCACAGTTAATTTAAATAAATGTCATTTGATGAAATGTAGAATATTTCAGGTTTGAAAATTTACATCGGTATATTTGTACCTTATTTTTATGCCTCCGTTATTATTGGTAAAATTGTTAAGTAATTTATCTCAAAAAAGCGGATTGAGATCTCAGAAGAATTTGCCCTTTTGGTGTTAAAGCAGAAACTATTAGAACAGGTTGGAAAATTTCTTAAAAATAAGCATTATGAAGGTTTTATAATATTATTTACCCTCACACTTCAAGATGGGGCCTGACCATTTGTTTTTATCACAAACTAGACGAGTATTTTCTCCTGTTTTGTAACCTTCCTGGCACCGAAGGGCAGCTTTGTCTCTACTTACAACCAAGTAGCCTTTAGGTATGAAGATATCAGGAGGAGTATCGCACCAAATAGCTGCAAAAAAATATTAATAGGAAATCAGAAGATGCTAGTATAAGCGTATATACGCTTTTGTCTATATGTAATTGTGTATGTCCTTGTTTATATGTAATTGTACCCATGTACCTACTAGTGTTATCACATATCTTGGCACTGTATAGTTAATATACATCTATTACGCACTGAGTAATCATGTACCTAATGTGTCTGTGCACAAAATGTCTGTATATATGTATATGAATTTATGTTCTGTATATATGATAATGTAACTATGCATCTGCACTTTTATCCTGAAAGGCACCATATCGCAAAGAACTAACTAGAGCCCCACTCTAAAATTAATTGCATCAATTATGTCAGCATTGTATTAAGTACCTATGTTAATGTATGTTAAAGTAGCATTTACCTAAGCTTGGGTATCCACTATTACTGTGTACCTAATACACGTGTTTTAATATATTTGTACATTGGTTATGTACTAGGAAACAGAACAAATAATTCAGTAGCAATAAACCGCCACACAGTACTAATCTAGGGTCTAACTTTTTAATTCACTTACTAAATATTCCAGCGTAACATTGCGCACCTAAATTTCAGTATGTACATGTCTTCTGTAATCTAATGATAATGCTCAAAGGATCCTAGTGTACTCAACAATGAGTACACACGTTAGGTATATATGCTACCGTATCCATGCTTTGCATACACCTTGTACATGGCAATGTATATCCAGTGTCTATCATAATTAGCTTAACGCGCCACTGTATGAAGTACCAAATTTGTATGTATGTTTATATATTAGTATATTAGCACAATGAACACGTATGGTTATCTAGATAAAGGTGGACGTGGCGCTATACCGATTAACCGTATTGGTAGAGGGGTGGTGCCCACGTCCTCCGTCGCATGTCGCATTTATCACCGTAATAGGTATTGTAATTGAATAAATGTAATTAATCACTATATTAGCTGTAACAATAATTCGACCCTCATATTGCTTTCGAGTAATTTCGAGATGCAGAAAGTACTAGAAATATCACGACGGCTGGTTGAAAACTATATATATGGCCGGAGATAGCATCTGCTCTCAGTTGTTGTTATTGCTGCTGTTATTGTTG